CACCCCCTTGCCATACATTATGAACGCAGCCTAAGGTCACGCGAAAACCAAAAAACTGAAAAGCTCTATGACTTCAAAAATAACTGAACAGGTACTTACCAAAATAACAAGAAATTACCACAGCAAGCACGAAGAACAATGACCGTCCTATCTTCATTGTATCTGTGGAAGAATAATAACATTAACAATACTCGATATATATGATATAAATGAAATAATCGTCATGCAGTTACAATGGAATGGCTTCCCATAAGAATAGTTATCGTATGAGTGGGAAACATACGGTACTGACTTACAGCACGTACACGGTACGACATGCCATAACACTGAAATGGCTTCCCAAAAGAATGGTTATCGTATGAGTTAGAAACATATTGTACTGACTTACAGCTTGTACACGGTACGACATGCCGTAACGTTGAAATGGTTTCCCATAAGAATGGTTATCGTATGAGTTAGAAACATACAGTACTGACTTACAGCTTGTACTCGGTGCGACATGCTCTAACATTGAAATGGTTTCCCATAAGAATGGTTATCGTATGAGTTAGAAACATACAGTACTGACTTACAGCTTGTACACGGTACAACATGCTCTAACATTGAAATGGCTTCCCATAAGAATGGTTATCGTACGAGTTAGAAACATACAGTACTGACTTACAGCTTGTACACGGTACGACATGCTCTAACATTGAAATGGCTTCCCATAAGAATGGTTATCGTATGAGTTAGAAACATACAGTACTGACTTACAGCTTGTACACGGTGCAACATGCTCTAACATTGAAATGGCTTCCCATAAGAATGGTTATCGTATAATTAGAAACATACAGTACTGACTTACAGCTTGTACACGGTACATGCCGTAACATTGAAATGGCTTTCTATTATCTCACAATTAATTCATTTACCACAGCGCGTAGTTACGGCTATGTTAGTTGAAGGTACGTCTACAGTACAGCTACGAATTTGACGTGTGTCGTTGCTCACTCGTACCAAAACCGTTTTATAACATTGTAGCCTGCGACTCTAGACGTCCATTCCGACTAATATTAATATTAATAGTTGGCGATTTACAGCAGATATCGAGTTAAAAAGAATACACATAAAAATATTTACCAGGAAGTCGAGCGTAATCTAAAAGAGTGCCTCTAGATACTTCACTGATTCTTTTCTAGCTTATCTATCGTGTTTTTTAAAATTTCTCAGCCGGTTATGAGTTTTCGGTTATTCTAATCAATAATTCATTAGCAACACCTTTGATCAACATTATTTACAAATAAAATTAATTAATCGTATCGGCAGCTTATGATTTAAATAACTTTCTGGAGGGATGTTTGGAACTATGTTTTTATTAAGGTTTACGAAAAGTATTTCATTTACTAGGAAGGCGAAGCGAAAAACATATGAATTGGAAAAATTGCCAGAAAGGAATTCATTGTTTTTCACCCCTAACAAGTACCTTTTAACACTTCTTGCTCTCATCGCTAAAACAAACATCGAACTTGTGAAATCAGACCTTCCTCATATGGGAAGACTGATTTGAGCTTTCTTTGGCGGCTTTACTGAGAAGTGGAAGTGGGGTTTTGCCACAACCACGTGACGACAGCCATATTGGATGATAAGGACAATACAATCGTTTTACATGAGAAATAATTCAATTCCCCATTTAAAAACTTTTTTTTGTTCTGAAATCATCTAACATGGCCACCAGCAATCTATTTCCACAAAAAGTTTATATACTTTATATTATACTGTGAGCTGCGCATGCGTCATATGCAGTCGCGGGTTTGACTTACGAAAGCGATTGGCTGACGATAAAGAACGCATCCCACATGGAAAGGAGCGAGCATGCGTTTTTAGCCAACTGCGTTACAATCAGAATTTTGAGTATGCTGGTCATAGCAAGGGGTTAATCATCTACGGTCTAGGGGCCGACTAACCTCTCCCTTAGGATTCGCCCGAGCTTCCTGATCAGTCTGTAAATCTCCGGATAGCGGTGTCGGGGCCGAAATCTCTGGCGTAGCCGTAAATGCTTCGCGCAGCCATACGACGGTTCAGCACTCGATGTCTGGAAGTATGGTCCTAAATTTATCGGTTCAATAAAGATAAAAAATCCCAAAATCTTTCTTTTTTTTGGCAGATGAACTCATGAAAATATTATTTTAGAAAAGACAAGAGAAGTACCAACTGCATGTGCCGCAGGATTAATATTTTGATTTAGAAGTGAACCAACTGAGGCCGAGCTATTTAACAAACGAACTTTGAACCGCGTATTTTCACGCTGCAAATTGTGTGACTATGGGAGACTGCTAAATAAACTATTTTTGGTCTGACCGAAGATTTTCAACCTTCACCTTCACCTTCCCTCACAAAACGGCAGGAATCCCGAATCCCGAGTAGTAGTGCAGTTTTTTGGTATGACTGTGAAAAGCTCAGTGCCGTAAGCGTGACGTGCCGTGACCGTGATACTTTCTAGAATTTTAATTGGCTGATTTTTTTCACGCGCAATATGATTGGTCTAAAAGTGCCGTGATCTTGGCGTGACCGTGTCCGCGCCGTGTTTATGCCGTGTTCCGGGTATTTGATTGGATGGAGAATAAATTCTCGTGCAATGTGATTGGTCTGGCGTATCCCTTGCTGTGTCACGACCGTGTTCGTGCCGTGAACTTTTCACAGTCATACGAAAACCGCACTATAGATAGAGTGATGTCATGGCGGGCATGTTGTATGGCAAAACAAAACAATTTTTTTTCTTTTGGGAAATAATATCTGTTGTCATGTAGAACATTGTAAAGTTTCTGCTCTACAACATTACTGCCTTGAAAACCCTCTATTTATAGTATCTGTTTTCTACAGTCAGCTTTAAAATGCTTTTTTAATGTGACTTTTCTTTGATTTTTGTATCACTGATTTGCAGCAGTTCTGTGGGCACAGCGTCGTACATACGAACTGACATCCATCGGGACACGAAGGACCCAACGAGGTTATCAAATTTTGTGGCGTAGCTTGGGGCTCTGGGTTTCCTAGAGGGGGGTTAATGGTTTGATAAATAAGGGGGCCCATTACAGCGGGCTGTGTATTGTAGGTAATTATTGGTTGGGTTTGATAAGCTTGTTGGTAGGTTGGATTACTGGTATAGTCCACGGAGGGTTGTGGTTGATATGTTGCTATACAACAAGATGGTTGGCAGGAAGGAAAGCATTTCGAGGAACAAAAGGCTGGGCATCGTGGTGGCGTGTAACAACCTGCAAATCGATCAAATAAATTAATTAAAAATAGACCTCTTCACCTTGGGCATAATGTTTTCCCATTTCAGACCACTTGTCCTTCTCTTGAGAATAATATTCTTTGTTTGAGTTGTATCGATACTCATGTGTCTTATCGCGAATTTTTAACAAATTTCTTATTCAAATAAAGTAACGATGAAAAAGACGACAAATACCTGCGGCCATGACATTTCGTGCACCAAAATAATCAATCAGTTTTGTCAGGTACTGGTCGGTATTGTCAAACTTCAAGACTGCATACATCTTGCTGATACTTCTGTTTTCTGTTCGCCTGAAAGACAAACAACACACGCTGACCAATAGTCCTTTTTCACAGTTCTCTGCGCCATCTTAAAAGGTAGTCGTGCCTTTGCATCGCAGTGAGATGAACGGTGAGCTTGCAATGATTGAGACGTGAATAATTGTCCAAGATGTTAAAAAAGGAGTCTATAATTGCAAGCTCACAGTTTGCTTCGCTTAAATGCAAAGGCACGGGTACTTTTTAAGATGGTGCAAGGGAAGAGTCACAGAACAATGAAGGGGCGCGGGCACGCGCGCGGTTTTGGCGCGAAATTTGCCGCCAAAACCACAGAAAACCCATCAACATAATTCACCAAAACAACCATTTAGCAGCAAAGTTCAGTTATAATCTGCTGCTATTCTGATATTGAAAAATATAGAATTGTGAAATATTTCGACTTTTTGTCAATAGTCTTGTAATGCATACATTGGAAACATGCATTTTAAGTTGTGAGGGAGAAGGGTGTGAGGAAGAGGGTGGGAGAGTAGGGGTACCCCTCCCCACGTCATTGACAATCACATCATGAAAGTCATGACATTCAAGGAAGTCACGCAAACTGTCACGCAACTAGTTTAGCCTCACGATAAGTAACTCAGCAATGACTTACCCAAATTTTTCAAATGTTATTCCTCTAAAGTCCTCGTCCTCTCCATAAAGGTTGAGAATCTTTGAAACAAAGTACTAGTCAGTCGAGCAATGGTTTGAACAAACTGCTAACATGGACTCAGCCAAGCACTGGTTTTACTATTGATGGTTTTCACGTCGGCCATGTTGGAGAATTTTAACTTCCAACATGGCCGCCGTGTCTTGTTATTTAATTCTCTTGGGAATGGTTGAAAACCATCAATTCGGTTTGTTTAATGCATAATGTTACGTACCTGGATTTCAATGTTCTCTCGTGCTTTTTTATAGTACAGTGTGTTAGGGTTCTTCAAATCGTCTCTCCACCGTGTCGGTAATAGAAGGACAATTAGAAATTCTTTGCCTTATGAAAAAATTGGAAAATTGTTACCGAGCTAGTTACGAATACAATGAATATCGTTTACTATCGCCACGCCACACCACATCACGCCACACCACACCACATCACGCCATATCAAATCACGGCCACACCACAGCTTTAATCACACTTCACCACACCTTATCACAGCCACACCGCGACACATTAACCCAACTCATCTCATCCCATCTTCATGTACTCACATGCTAAATTCTTGAAGTCTTTAAATGGTTTATTCGATGATTCATTTAGAAGCCTTGAGTCGTGAAGTTTTGGCTTTTTGCTAGGCGTAGTCAGACTGTCCATTAATTTGTAGTTATTGTGTGTTGACTTGTTTAGCGACACTGAATCCATGACACGATCTATAAATAAACAGAAAAGAGTCTATCTGTATCAGTCTGTCAAAGGCATAGACAAATCCTTCAAATTAAGAGTCGACAAAGCTCATGATCTTATTACCCCGAGTCGCTATACTTCACAGGGGCGGATCCAGGATTTTGTTCAGGGAGGGGTGCTGCGCACAAAGTTAACCCAGGGAGGGATGCACCCCTTAGAATCAAAGGAAAAAAACAGTATTGGTTATCTTCGAAGTAGGGACACAAAAGAACTTATTAAAATTGAAATTAAAATTAAACGTTTAGTAGAAGCGCATAACATTTCTCAACTGCAAAGACTTTCAAAAAAAAAAAAAAAAAAATCAGTTATTTCCGAAAAATAGTTGCAATAGTTAAGCCCAACTAAAACCGAGCTATTACATCAACTTACTGTTGTTGCTTATTCTATAAACATAATTAGCATCTGGTCCTCCAACGCACTCAATGTCGGACTCTTGACAAGGCTTAAATTCACTGTTAAAGCAATTTGTCGATGTTTTGTGGACATCGTAAGTTTTCTCTGCATCTTTTCCACTCCAACACTCATCTAAAAAGCAAAACATATCAAATTATTGTACATCAATTAATCATTAATTCACCATCAATTCATTAATTCACCATCAATTCATCATTAATTCACCATCAATTCATTAATTCACCATCAATTCATCATTAATTCACNATCATTAATTCACCATCAATTCATTAATTCACCATCAATTCATCATTAATTCACCATCAATTCATTAATTCACCATCAATTCATCATTAATTCACCATCAATTCATCATTAATTCACCATCAATTCATCATTAATTCACCATCAATTCATCATTAATTCATCATCAATTCATCATTAATTCACCATCAATTAATCATTAATTCACCATCAATTAATCAATAAATCATAATTAAATATCCTGAACTACCCATCATATTACCACTTATTCACCAGCAAGTAATTCTCAATCAGTTATTAATTTATTATCAATTAATAATTAATTAACCATTAATTAATTTGAATCCGACGCTCCAATGGCACGGTGATAGTCTATTAGCCAGAAAGGAGCGGCGCCAGCGCACGCGTTTTGGCGCGAAATTCCCCGCCACAGGAACTCCATAAGTATATACCACGGACAAATCTATTTTCAAAGGGCTTTTCTGTTATCCCTACACGAAACAATATGAAATTTCACAGACATGCGACTTCTATCGTGAAATTAAACTATACTTGATATTAACAGTTACCATAAAACTGAAGTCCAAAAACTGTAAACTCTCTTCTCTTGGCTTCTTCTGCGCACCGACATACTTTTCTTTTCATGTCATGTTTTCGGTTTAGCAAATCACTTTGATCCTTTTCGGTGAAGAGTAAGTCCTTAAGGGGACGAGGAGGGGACTGCTTATCAGCAAAACAGCCAACCTTAGTGAATTTTACTTGACAATCATAATCTGAAAGAAAAAATGACCATGGCTGAAATTCATAATGATATTAATGATGGTGATGATTTTTGTCTGTTGCATGTGTCATGCTTCCAGGACTCGTTTAAACCTCAAGTGTTCTCTCAACCTTCTTGAAAAAAAGCAATGATTTATACCTGGATGGTTAGTATCGTTCTGTTTTATTTGTTTGGTCGGCGTTCCTTGATAAAGTAGATTTTCAAGAGATTTTATCTTGATGTTCATTTGCGTGGTCGTCATCCTTTTGCTTGGGGAAAAATCACTTGACGTCTTATTTGTCCCTGCGTTATTTCCGGCTGATGATTTGGTTGGACTTCCGGTTGATGACGACATGGGTATTCGGCTACTTCCTTCCATCAATGTTGGACTTCTGCTTGTTTTCCCTACAATCGTTGTACTTCCTGCTGATGGTTGGGTTGGACTTCCGGTCGGAGACATGGATGTTGGTTTACTTCCTTCCAATATTTTTGGATTTCCGCTTGTTTT